AAATGGCACACTACCACAGGCGGGATTGACCGCAGCAGACCGAGTTCAGTGTGGGGAGGAACAACGTTAAATGGGAGTCACTGTTAGACTCCCGGAAAGTATTGTTTTCACCACTGCACTTAACACTTGGACTTTTTTTTTTAAGCATTTCACCCCAAGCAAGACGGGAAGCCACTAGGACGCAAGGGGTTACAGAAAATTTAGAGCAAGATCAGATAGGAGTGATAGAAAAAAGGATGAGGGTAGTGGATAGATCTAGGCAACTGAAGATGTCGATTGACATTACACTTGAATAGCTGGAGATTATAGCTCACAGGGAAACAGGAGAAGGGAATGGAGTTCCACAGGCGAGAGGTGCGAGACATGAAGCTATTAGAGTAGAAGAGACGGCTACATTTAGGAGTTTCGACAGTGAAGGGGTGAGAGCGGGACGCCAGCCTCCTAGGGCGCTGGAACTCATGACGTCTGGGAACCAGCGAATGCAGCTCCTCGGAACAATTTCCATGAAAGTATTTGTAGAACAGACAGAGGGAGGCGACGGCGCGTCTGTGAGAAAGTGAATTTATCACAGCTCTAAATAATGAGTCTGCAGTTCATTCAAGCACCTTCAAGACTTCTTACGTAAACTGTCTGTGGCAAAATCAAAGCAGGTGTTTTTGTCGAAGCAAAATAAAGAAGTTCATAAAGTGCAAATAATTCCCCTATAAGCTAATTAGGACGGAGAAAGCAGCGTGGAACAGCTTTGTTGAGTGATTCGGAGCTTCTTAGGGATTTTGTTGGGACCGTAGTGAAAAACTACGATAAAATTCAAGGGACGTACTTTTACTATTCCTGATTATTTTCGTATCGTGTTGTCCTTCCTCTTGTCTTTCTTGTTTTTCTTTAATTGTGATCTCAGTCTCTCTTTATTTTCTTCTTCATACTCGTCTCTTTTTTCATTCTCACTTTTTCCCATTTACTGCTCTGTTCCATTTTTGCATCTTTCTTTCTCTTCTTGTTCTTGATGTTCCATTTCTACGTTATTCAGTTCGTTTCTACTTCTGATCTGATCTGCATGTGCCAATATGTGTTGTCCCTTTTCTCAAGTATAGCTGTGTTGTGTCTTTTTTTATCAGGAAATATGCTTCTTTTGGATTTGGCTCTTTATTGTTTCTATACCATAACTTTTATTTCGTTGCAAAGGACATAGTTGGGCGGGGGTCTGATTTGTCTTCCCATTAATGTCGAAGGGCTCAGTTTTCTTCCTGCATGTAGAATGGATGTGTAACTGAAGTGGATTTTGGTGGATACGATTCTAGGTTTCATTAAGTGGTGAGAATGCTTTTAATCCCATTTTTGCCGTTTGTACCTTTCTTTTCGCAATGCTATTAGATTATGGGTGATATGGTGGTGTCTTGTATGGGGTGCATCCAATCTATTTTAACCACGCAAATAAGTTCTCATCGCAAAATTCGGGTGCATTGTCGGTGACTCTGGGGTATTCCATTCCTTGACAATATAGTTCTTAGTACTTTCTTTATTGTGGTGGCTTTTCTGTCTTTTACACTGACAAGCTCTGGCCACCCTGAATATAAGTCCACTAATACTAAGAACAATCCCCTATCATTGATATGTGCGTGATCCATGTGGGCCCTAACCCATAGCTCTGCCTCCTTGGGCCATGAGTGAATTTTTGCTTACTTGAAGTTTTTTTTTATTTTCGCACATTTTGAGCACCTCTTAACGTATTTCTCTACATATTTTGAATACCCTAGTCACCGGGCTTGTAACTTTAGTTTTTTTGTGTTGCTGTTATGCCACAATGCACGTCATAATTCACTTTTTTATTATGTCCCTTCTCAGTATTTGTGGAGCTACTATTATACCCCCCACAGCATATTATGTCATTTTCTATGGTTAGTTTGTGCTTCATTTCTTTAAAAGGTAGCTCTACCATCGAACAATTGCCCCACATATTATTTTTTATTCTCTCTACTATTCTGCTTAATAACAGGTCTTCTTTTGTTTCTATTTCGTGTCTATTTAGAGAAAGAACATCCGTTTCTACACAATGTATTATTTTATCTTCAGCATTTTCCTGTTTTTCTTGTTTCATTCTTGCACTGTAATCTTGATAAAGCGTCTATGTGAGGGATAGTGTTCCCTTTTACGTATAATATGTCAAAATCGAAGGCTATGATTTTTATTGTCTACTGTAAAATTCTTGATGATGTGACTTTTAGCAATTCTTTTCTCGGGTTAAAAACGAATTCTAATGGTTTGTGGTCCGATTTTAATAAGAATTTTTTCCTATCAAAAGTTTCGTGCCCTTTCCATGTTCCATACAATCGCTAGTGCTTCTTTTTCAATATTCGAGTAGTTAGTTTCTGCTGGCGTTAACCTTGATATGTACATGATTGGGTGTTCTTCTCGTGATAGAATAACAGAAACAGCCTTTCCACTAGCGTCTGTGGTTAACGTTACTTCGTTTTATGGATCAAAGGCTTTTATTATTGGTTTATTCCTCAGTAGCTTCTCTAGTGTTTCAAAAACGATAGTTTGCTTTTGTGTCCAGTTAAATTCATTGTCTTTCTTGCGTAATTTTTCAAATGGCTCTATTATGTCGTTGTATTTTGGTATGTATTTACTATAAAAATTCACTAGCCCACCAAAAGTATTCTAATTCTTTTTTACTTGTTGGAACAGCTATTTTTGTTATTTCCTTTGTTAGTCTATCGTTGGGTGATATGCCTTCTTTTCATATTTTGATATCCTAAATATGATATCTTCTTAAATTCAAAATTACACTTGTCTTTGTTTACAGTCATGGCAGCCGTTTTTAATCTCACTAAAATTTGCTCTGTTTATGTTTTAATTCTTCTTTAGTTCTTGCCCCTGCACATATATCGTCCTGGTATATCATTATATTTTTACTTTTTTCTAATAAGACTCTTTCAATTGCTTTTTGAAAAATATAGTTCGAAGTCTTTACTCCAATCGGTAGATGAGTCGATCTTAGTAAGCCTATAGAGGAGTTTAACATGGCGATTTCCTTGAATTTCTCGTCAATTTCTATTTGGTTGTATTGTGCCTTGAGATCAATTTTTGCAAAGTGTTCCATTTTTGGTAATTCGTGGCTTGCAGTTTCGATATTTGACAAAGGAAGAGTCTGAACATATCTAGTGATTTACTCCTATCTTGTAATCAACACATATCCTTAAATCTCCATCAGGTTTCTTTATCGCTACTCTTACTGATGCCCAATTGCTACCACCTTGAGTCACTCTTTCTAGTATGCCTTGTATCATTTTGCTTAATTTGGCTGCTACCAAAAGTAAGATATGAATTGGAACTTTTCTCTATATATCTCCGGTGATAATTTTCTTTTAGTCAAATGCTTGTTTTATAGCCTTTCAATAATCCAATTTCATGGAATTGATTAGTCTTGCTGTATCTACTTTTAATATATCAATTCCTGGTAATCTGTGATCTTTTTCGCATTCTACAACTGTAATGGGAATTATTTCAAAACGCTTTCAAAATTGCCTTAAAATGTACCCATTATTTTTATAGTTGTTCCATCAAATTGCTTTAACTGGATGCTGCTTTTTTAAATTTACGTCGTCCTAATTTTATCCAGATTTTTTTTTGTATCAACGTGACTTCACTGCCTGTATCAACTTGCATGTTAAATATTAGGCCATTTATCCTTATTTTTCTCTACTTCTTTTTTTTGTATTCATTGTAAATATTTCAGCTTTTCCTTCGAGTGGGAGAATTTGTATCGTTTGTATTCTTTCTATTTTCTTTTTGTATTTGCATCCGTTCTGAAAATTACCTCTTTTTTTGGCAAATTGAGCATATTTTTCCTAGAGTTGTACTTGTCTCTCTCTTGATATTTTCCACAATATCTACATTTAATTATGAATTTGGTCGTTCTCGTTCTGTACGTCACGAATTCTTTTTTTGGTTGATTAAATTCTCTAATCAACTCTAATTATTATAAAAACTCGACGCTAGCTTCCAAACTCATGTTGCTACTTTGTAGACATTCTAGTATTTTTCGTTTCTGGTTTTGGTCTTGCAAGCGTTCAGTTATTCTGAGAAGGATTAATTCATCTTCTATAGTCACTTCCCGTGTTACAATTTTTCAAATTAACAATACTTAGCTCGTTCTTTCAATCTATGTAAGTATTATATAATGGGTTCATTGGGTGCATGTCTTGGGCCTTTCGGCGATGACCAATCTTTCCTTTGGTCTTATGTTCTTTTTTATAATTTTAATAATTTCTTTAAAAGTCATTTCTTCTAATTCGCTCGAGTAACATATTGTCGAAATTTTCTTCACAGCTTCGCGTCCAGCACGAAATCTCTTATCTCGTTCTCTGATCCATCGCCCTTTGTGTCTCTTAATTTTTTTATTCTTGCAAATGCTGCAAAAGTTCTTATTCATGTTTCTCTGAGTTCTGGGTCGTCCAGCGAATTTAAGGATCCTATCAGCGATGCCATTGTTACGTTTTGCCTATGTCTCTGCGTAGTAGTAGTCGTAGTACAGTTCTCTGTGTCCTGAATAGCAACTAGGTTTGCTAGGCATAGCCAAACTATGTTCGCCAATTGTTCTCTATACTTGTCTTTCTAATTTGCATACGATACTACAATGAGATTAAAAACAGACGCCTATTATTGGAAACAATTACAATTTAGATGATTTGACCGACAATGATTCTGAGAAGAAGAGAGAAAGAACCAAACAGACAGACAGTAAACCCACGCGGTACCGATTCTAAAGTACCAAATCACATAGCCTCACCTGGGCAAATGCAACACCCACATTTGTCTTTCCCTTCAATCCATTTCTTTTAGCAGGTCAACATCTTCATTCGTTTACATCGTCTCCTTCTATTTATCCATTTTTTTTAGTTTATTTTCTTTTCTATTCTGTTTTCCTCTTTCTCTTCTCACATCGCTATTCCTTTTTCTTTCTTAATTCTTGTCGTTCGTTGTTTCGCTATGTCCTAGAGATTTTCTTCCTTTATTTCTATTAATTCTTTTATTAAATTTTCCTTTCTTCTACTTCTTTTCATTCTTCTTTTTCCTCATCATTCCAATTTATTTTATTGCGTTTTTCTCCTTTTCTTACCACTTCATTTCATCTGTCTTCTTTTTTCTCGCTTCGTTTCATATCTGTTTCTTTCTTATATCTTTATTATATGTTCCTCTCTTCCATATGATTTTATTCCGTCTCCTTCTTCCTGTTCCCATTTCTTTTAGTTCATTTTTCTTCATATTTCCATTCTTTTATTCTGTCGTTCTGCTGCATTATCCGCCATGGCGACATTAGCTACTGGGCAACAGGGAGTTTCGAAAGCCAAGGTAAAATGTTTCATAAAAAAAAGAAAAAAATCACCGCTCCATTAGATTCGGGAAGTAGTCATAGTTTTGTTGAAACCAACATAGCGCAGTATATGGGCTTCGATGTTAGACTTACTAACTCTACCATCAACATGTTCGTCTGAATTGTTATTAAAAATTGTAGGGAAATGTAAAGCGAATCTTACGGTAGGTACGAAACTTACAAAAAATTTTAATTTATCCTTCATGGATAATTTAAATGCTGATGTGATCCTCAGACAAGACTTTCAAAGATTGCACAAAAATAGAAAATTTATTGAGGGTGACAGACCACCTCTAAAACGGTGCAGACTAGCTAGCATGAGGATTTTACCTCCTCCTTTGAAAATGCCGCCTGATTGTAGACCTATATCTGTGAAATCCCGACAATACTCTGGAGAAGTGGAGGTACTTATAAGGAAAAAACTAAAAAAACTATTGCAGTCAAATATCATTGAGCCCAGTACCGTGGAGCGCGCAAGTTGTGGTAACTAAGGACGAGAAACGAAAAAAAAAAAAGAAAAAAAAAGTGAATCATAGATTATTCATAAATGATAAATCGTTTTTCCTTAAAAGATGTCTATCCTCGACCCAATATTACAACGATCGTTTCGGAAATAGGAAAGTATAATCTGTACTCTAAACTAGACCTAAAAAGTGCGTATCATCAAGTTCCCCTACGTAAAGCAGGCCACCCTTTTGAAAACAGTGGGAAATTGTATAATTTCAAAAGAATGCCGTTTGAGATCAGAAATGGGGAGACTGAGTTTTAAAAAAAAATGGATGAAATAATCGAAAAGGAAGTTCTAAAAAGAACATTCGTGTATATAGATGACATGATCATTTTTAGTATTAATGAAAGAGAACATGGCACTAAATAAGATTCAAAGAACTGATTGAAAAGTGCAGTCTCACCTTAAATGAGAATAAATATGTCTACAGAGTAACGAAAATAAAAATTCTGGGCTATGAAATAAGTAATGGGGCCGTTAGACCAGACTCCGAAAGGATCAGACCTCTGCAAGAACTCCTTCCTCCAGGCAATTTGAAAGCTCTAGAAGAGAATGATTGCTTACTACAGTCGTTGGATCCCAAACTATTCGCTAAAATTCACGCGTAAATAACAACATTATATTCCCTTTGTCAAAATAAAAGATTTTTTGAATATTTGAAAATTGAATTGCCCAGATGCGTTAACGAGTATATATTGCGCTAGTGTCGTAAATATTGACCTTAAAGAATTACATAATAATCTATGTCATTCTGGAGTATCAAGAATGATGCACTTTATCAGGTCGAGAAATTTGCACTTCTCAACAGAGTTAGTAAAGAGAATGACTGAAAAACGTAATGTGTGTGCCGTAGAAAAGTCGCGATTTATGAAAGGAAGAGGCAAATTAATCAAAACCACTCAACCCCTCGAAAGACTGAAATTATTTTGCATGTTTAGTATGCCAAGTTATATATATATATATATATATATATATATATATATATATATATATTCAAAGGAATGGAATCGCTACTAGTATATCTACTGCGTATAAACCAAGGGGAAACGGTAAAGTGAAGAGATTGAATGAAACTGGAGGACGATCAACTTAGCCTTAAAGTAGAGAGGTTTAACTGTGCATCAATGAAAACCGTTTTATCTGACTCTCTTCATTCGATTCGTTGTTTACTGTGTACAGCTACGAATTGAAAGGATGTTTTCGTATCCGAGAAAATCTACCTCTGGAAGATCTGTTCCTTCGTGGTTGACGATTCCTGGGAAATTACTCATGAGAAACTACGTTCAGAAAAACAACCTACTATGAGAAAATGAGCTGATTCAGGCGAATCCCGATTACGTCCTTACGTTAGGTTACCAAATAGAAAAGAAATTAGTGTGTCTCTACGTCACCTCACTCCTGTTGGGGAGGCAACGACAATCTCTGAACCTGAAGCAATTAAAATAGTCACAAATTGCCCTATAACGGATTCGGATGCAAATAACATACCAAAATCAAAAGATACAGTACCACAACCAGTGTCCAGTGATTCAAATGAATGGGCTGAACAAGGAACCTGTAACTCCCCTAACTCAAACTCTAAAAAATGTCTTCTGCAAATCATCTAAGAAGTCTAAGCGTATCACTAAATAACCTGAACATCTCGGTATCAAACACTAAAAACAAGAATTTAAAGAATTTAATTAATTTGGTGAAGTTGTTTTTGCAACAGCATTCCTTTTTTTTCCGAAATTAAGAGTTCTAAATTTATATTGTCAAAAAAAAAAAAAAAAACTGTCCTGACTTTGAAGAGTAAACTACTAGAAAAATAGAAGTGAATACTTGTTGTTAATAAAACTTATCACAGAAAGGAAACTATTATAAACGTAAGTTTCAATTCTAAAGGATATAATATTTCTTTTTGAATAATAACGTAAAGAAATGAAAATTCTTTTTGCTCTTGACTCACGATCAAAATATTGCTTTTCTTTAGTTTTAGCTAAGTAAAAATTTAAAATTAGAATTCTTATTTATTTTTAAAGATTCTGATCTCGGAATTATTTTTATTGTTTGTTGTTACATTTAAAATTTTCCCTTAGAGAGACAAGACAATTACACCAGGGATGGTGTGACAATAACTCTCTACATGATTCCTCCTCTCTACTAGACATTAATGTTATCGTTAATAGATCTTCAACATCCCCACACAAACACACACATATATATTAGTTTCAAGTAAAATATATCACCATTATTTTTACATATTTTTAAGGAAATGTTTTAAGTATCTTTGAAGTTTTCTTTTTTCTCGTTATGTGCACTGAATCAATTATTTATGCCGGAATTTACGGAATGGAGAATCAGTTTTTAAAATATTTTTTTTTTGTGATTGATACAGTAAAAGACACTTTTGAAAGAGATAGTCAATATTAATGGAATTCAATCTCAGCTTAAACAGAATCTACCAAGTATGATGACTTTTCTGTATATGTTGTGGTTTGAAGGAAATTATTTCTGATGAGTTGCTGAAACCTGGAAACAAACTGTTATTAGGTAATAATGCAGTTAGCAATTGGTTCGTTGGAATGTCACATTTGAAAATACGTAGCATTTCTCTGGCTAAAAAAGCCGACAAATATCTGTACTGGATGACAATACCCATTTTTATGTTGCAAGTGTGGTAAACGCTCATGGAATGGAAAATACTTCGAAATCCAGAGTATTATCCAAACGTGTCACCTTGAAAATATTCTTTCGTTATATGTAATCGTCAGCAGTTTTACCAATTTCAAGCTGGATGAATAGTTAGATCCAAAAAGAAAATATAAAGAAAACAGTTGGTAGCATTGGTTGAGTGTTCGGTATTGGAATTAATTGAACATAAATTATTTAACCGTTCTCGGAATGAAATCCTCAAAATGAAATATATTACAAAGCTCGAGAAACTTGTAAATACTTCATAAACCGACCGACTAAAGATTTTCAAAATGGCAAAATTTGGTGTTATTTTGAGATAAAACTGACTGGATTATTGTAGTTACGATAACATAACAGATACCTGTAACAGGAATTGAACATTTATTCGAAGCCCTACATAGAGATAAAGAAAGAATGAAAGAGAAATCCTGACTTTGCTTGTTGGATAACGCTAGGTATTGTTTAGTAATGTCAGGGTTACGAATGCTAGTTTTCTTTTGCTGATAGACAGGAATTCAGCCATTAACATATTAGCTGAGCACAATCTTTCCAACCTGTTTTCCCTTCATTTGGTCCGGTGTTGGATTGGGGCAAGTAACTTAGTAAATTTGATAGATTTCTCTGAGAAGAACTGGTGCCATCGATTTTTATTGGCACTTCAGTGATTTTGTCGGGAATTTCAACATCTCTAAGAGAAATACATGCATACGTTAACTAAGTTAATGTCGATTGTTTCTGATTTAGAATATCACTTTTAGTTGTATAAAATGGACAGAAACTTTTAGAATTTGAAAGTCTTGGCTCAGCAAGACGTTTAGACAATTGCACATTTTGATATTATTTTCTGTAGAGAATTCAGGCATACAAACAATGACGTCACAGGGAAACCATTGAAGTCTAGGGGAGATAACTGATTATTTTTTTCTATTATTACGAAGGGAAAAAATATCTGTTACTGTAGAAATCGTCAATGGACTGTTCCGTATATGTCAACTTAAAAATTTTTTTTTTGTATTTCATGCGGTACAGCCCGAGGCATGTATTACTTTTACTATGAAAGAACAAAGGAAAATAAATTACATGTATGTATACATAAACTTTGCCCATAAATGTTTCATACTTCAGTATTAGGGATAGAGCATATGTAAAAATAAAAATGAACACAGCCGGTGGGGCTTGATCCTGGGTCTTTCCAACGCTGGTCAGTATCACAGCCGGTCAACTGATGGTTATCTTTTTTCCGCTTCGTTCTGCTTCTGTCTTACGTTTTGTTTCTTTATCATAGAGCAGTGAAGATCGAATTTCGTCCGTACTTAAATGCTGGATCAGACCGTGCAGAACCGTGCTGCAATAGGACAATGAACGCTTCCGCTGGTGAGAATAAAAATAACATAACAAAATAAGGAAGACAGTCGGCGGGTTAATTTTCAGTTTGTTTATATAGTTTTTGATGCAATAAAATTAACCTTTACCGTTAAACTCTCTATCGTGACACTGCAATTTTCTTTTAAAACTTGGAGCAAAACTTGGATTCAATCAGCAAAGTAAGATGTCGTTCGGAAATTCTTTCGGCAGCAGCTCCTTCGTTCGTTGCTCTCTTTGCCGTCTCTCGCTCCAACTGCTATGTCTCTTAAGCGCTCTATTTATAAGTATTTCGCCCGATTCCCACCGCACCTCAGGACTCTTCAATATTCACCTCAAATATTTTCTCCAATTTTGGAGAAACGACATTGACTTTCAAACAAACTGATCGGTTATTCAA